GTGTGTGTGTGTGTGTGTGTGTGTGTTTTGGGGTGGGTGGGTGGATTTTAAAAAATGGTTCTCATGAAATACTGTAATGGTAACATTATATATTATTATGGTAACAAATAGCAAGCTCGAGCTGCCAGTAAGTGATAACAAGAAGAGCAGGGAACATGTTTACAGGCATGCAGACGTGCAGGTTCATGTTTGTAGTGCCAGGAATGGACCTGAAGATGATAAACAAAGAGGTCAAAATAGATCTTATGACACTTTTTTGTAAATAAGCAGGTTATTAAAGACTTGAATCCAGAGCAAGTGAAGAGCTTGCACATGCTCAGTTTGAGACACCTGAAACAGGAGTTTTATTGAGATAGAAAAATTACAACAATGTGACACCAATAAACCAGGAAATAAAAAAACATGAGCAGAGACTCCACCCTTTATTTGCAAACCAGAACATTGGCATCACTGTCATTCTTAGTAAGAATAAACTTAATAAGCATATTTTTCTTTAATATTTTTCAGGTATTGGTGAGGTAGAGTCTTTTTTCAGTTCGATTTTATTTAAAAAGCGCCAAATCACAACAACAGTAACATCAAGCACTTGGCAATAATTGGCAATAGGAAAACTTAACAGAAAGAAACTTCCAGCACCCCCAGGCTGAGTCAGCCAGGCTGGGGGTGAATAAGACAGGACAAAGACACACGGTGGAAGAGAGCCAGAGATGAATAATAACTAATAATTAAATGCAGAGAGGTGTGTAGACACAGAGTGAGTGAAAAATTCACAACCACTGGTGCCTTCGTTAATTCGGTATCAATTAATTGACCCCCTCTCCATATGAAAAATGGGGGCCAGCCCAGGACTACCAAGGTGTACCTAATGAAGAGGCCAGTGAAGCCTAGTCATTCCCTAGTTAAAATGCCAGTTACTCAATTATTGTTCAAAAGGTTGAGCGTGTAGACTACACAAATAATAAAACAACTTTACCCTGAAAGATTTTTGTGAGTTATTGGTTTCAGTGGTGTCAAACTCCAACTTCACCTTGAAAGATGCAGCGATGTGTTCCCCTGAGTAAGAGACGCTTTTTGTCTTTTCTCTGACAATTCCTGTTCTTTCTCATCTTTCATCGATCTTCTTAAAATCAAAATTAGAATTAAATTTTAAATTTTAACATCTGCAGGAAGCTCCTGAGGATGTTTTACCAGTCGGTGGTTG